TTTATTTATTTATTTATTTATTTATTTATTTATTTATTTAAAAATTTCTATGCCGCCCCATTCGCCGAAGCCTTGGGGCGGCTTACAAAACAACAGTTAAAATATAAAACACTAAAAATATAAAACACATTAACATTATAAAATAAGTTGCCCTGGCTGAAGAATTAAGCAAATAATATTAGCAATTAAAATGACGTCTGAATAAAAAGGTCTTTGCCTGGCGCCGAAAAACAAATAATGACGGCGCCAGGCGGACCTCTTTGGGGAGCGCATTCCATAGATTGGGCACCACCGCTGAGAAAGCCCTCCTCCGAGTACCTACCCTCCTAATTTCCTTCACGGAGGGTTCCTGGAGAAGGGCCTCTCCCGCAGATCTCAGGGGGCAGGCGGGCGTATATGGACGTAAGCACTCCTTCAGGTAGCCAGGACCCAAGCCGTTTAGGGCTTTATAGGTCATAATCAACACCTTGAATTGGGCCCGGACTTCAATGGGAAGCCAGTGAAGCTGACGGAGGACTGGAGTCATGTGAACATAACGCCCAGTCCCCGTCAGCAACCTGGCAGCTCTATTTTGAACCAATTGAAGTATCCGGACCGTCTTCAAGGGTAGCCCCACATAGAGTGCGTTACAGAAGTCAAGGCGGGAAGTCACCAAAGCGTGTGTCACTGTCTTCCTTCCACTGAATAAATAAGAACCTTTCCAGAGATTAGGGTGGGGGTGGAGAGGAAACAAGAAGAATAGAGAGACTGTCCAACAATCCAGGGGCTGTCAGAGACAAGCAGGAGAGCGTGAATATGTGGCCTGGAGTGTGTCTACCGCACTGCTTTTACACAGCAACTTGAGAGTGGCTCCTTTGTGGCCACCAAACATATTGTGTGAACCTGGAGCCCTGCTAAACAATGCAGTGTTTAATCCAACAACAAACCATGGGTTAATAATTATGCGTAAACCAGGTCATTGTTAGCAATATATAAAGCATGCACAAAAAGACTAATCAAATGTTGACTCATCATATGCAATAGAAGACATCTCAAATTAGAATTCAACTCATTTTATAACTTTTTAAAAGACATAGATATTTGTATTACATCTTCATTTTATATTAAAAGCACTATTGCACTTTTTGCTACTGAATTTAATTAATTTTTAAACCATTGGGCATCAATATTGACAAGTGCACACAATTTTGCTAAGCATTAAAATACTTGGCACAAACCCTTTGACTGGGTTTGCCCAATGTCACACAGGCAAGGTAGGAAGGAGGAGATCCAGCCACAAGAGAAATGCTTATTTAGAGAAGAAACAGCAGAAATCCTAGCAAGGAGGATATGTGGTCCTGAGAAAGCACAGGGCAGGGGCAGCAATGGGTAGGAAAAGAGGCATGAAAAAACAAGGGCCAGGCTGGAGGAAGGCGCCTCCCAGGAAGAGGGAGGCAGACGGCTCCTGGAGCCAACAGTTTGATCATTGCTCCTACGTATATTGTAAGCTGCAAGTGGGATTGCAATGGACTGTTCAAACTAGAGGGTACAGCTCTGCTCCATCAAGGAACTTTCAGAAATACACTTTAAAATGTTGTAAACTGTTTCAAACCCAAATTTGCAGACTGAAAATGTTGGAAATAGCTGTGATGTAAAGGCAATTTGAAACTGGGAGCATAACACTTTCAGTTAAGCACAACTGTGTGAAACATTCTAATAGTTTTACTGTCCCATCACCCTGAATGTTCTATCACTAACTAAAAGTAGGAGTTTTTAAGGTGTGCATTAGCTATAGATTCACCTGTGAGATGCATCATTCCCACATATCAAAAAACAGAAGAATGACACCAAGGCAATGCATACTTGTGGTCAGTGCTTTTTTTGTAAAAAAAAAAAAAAAAAAAGGTGCTGGAACTCACGTTGCCGCCCCGCAGTAAGCGCACACACCAATCCCAAGCGGAGCAGCAGCGGAGCAATGTCCCAAGCAGCTGTCTCTCACAATCAGATAGCAAACACAATAGCAGCCTGCAGGCACTATGTTAATGATGTTTGCTGCTGATCTACTATGCAGTTCAAAATCACTTCGTAAAATCCATTGAAAAAAAGGTTCCAGAAAGCCGTTCCGGTGCGTTCTATG